TTTGTCATCTACATCATCAAGGATAAGAAGAATCTTTTTAAGTCGTAACCTCCGCTTTATCATCTCAATCCCTCTATAAGAATCCCATACAGAACCACGTTCCATTAAGATTTTAGAAAGAAGTTGTTCCTGTAAACGGCGTGGTCCATCTTTCTCAGAAAAAACTTCTCTGACATTTGCTAAGAAGCAGCTGCCTTCAAATTGCCAACGAATCCTATCATATACTACCCTTGCAACAGTCGTCTTACCTATGCCACCCATTCCACAAATCCCTATGAAGATTGCTTTGCCTCCTTCTTCACTTATATAACCACCATTCAATACCTCTAGACGAGAATCTATTCCAACTAATTTTTTGCTAATTGTTGGCAGAGTGACGCTTAGTTTGTAGAATATATATTCAACAATTATTTTAATTGACTCTGACTCATTCCTGCATATGATGGTGGAAAACATTAATCATGCTGTGTGCAAATCAAATCACATAGTGATAATGGGAAAATAAAGATTAGCATATTGCAGCTCGGAAATGTATGGCTTTTAGCCGGAAATTAATACATCAGTCTTTGAGAAAGACAGGGCTCTGACTATAGATAGCTTCAAGAACAGAGAGGAAAAGGAAAGAATAAACTGAAAATGGAATCACACAGTTACTAAAGAAGCGTGCTGTCAAGAACAAAAGCTAGGAAATAAAATATCTATTACGTTTGGTTGGCGAAAACGCGAATGGGGTTCTATCATAATTTTTGCCCACCACTAAATTATTTTTATAATTATTTATAACAAAAAATTCAACTATCTTGGCATATAATTATTTATAACAAAAAATTCAACTATCTTGGCACAGTAAACTTTAAGAAAAAACAACTTTAAATTTATTAATTTTTGAGTTTTTGCAAAAAGAAATTTCTAGCTAATATAGTTTAAATGGTAGTGCAAATCTAATCCACCTTGAGATGCATAGATATCACGTATGCGTATCACAACTCAATTTTTTTGTCTGACAAGTATATTACACGCGCTAGCAACTCAAATTTCTTTATGTTTGTCACTTGTAGCCCTCACACTAGACATCAAATTTTGTGTGTTACACGTAGCAGCCGGTGAGCATGCTAGTGTCTCCAAATGCACATGTGCCTAGCCTGAAATTCCAAACTTGGCTATCTTTAGTATTTATGGAATCGTCTCATCAAAGTTTTTTCAATATATTAAAGATGTTGTAATCAGTGTTAAATCCTAGATTTAAGGTCTATCAAGAAATTCAATTCAATCTTAAAATATAAAATTAGAATATATATATATATATGGGTGTGTGTGTGTGTGTGAAGGTAAAAAAAAATTATAATAAAAAAGGGAGGATGAAATCAAAAGGGAACAAAATAATTTTAAAAATAAATCTTAAATAAAATAAATAGAAATAAAAAATAAGAATCAAATCTAATAAATTAAAAAAATTAAAAGGGTATGAAATTAAAAACAAATTTCTATTCTATAAAATAATTTTTAAAAATTTCAATTAAAAAACATAATTAAAATATAAAAAAATAAAAAGTTGCTATAAAATTTTAAAAGATTGGGTTTGAAATTTTATATAAAAAAAAATCATTTGACACCAAATTGGTGAGATAGGCCATGACTTGGCAAATTATAAAATAATAATGAATCAACGCTCGTGAAATTAATCATACTGTGCAAACTGACCGGATATTAATATTAACCTTAAAAAAAATAACAATGAAGAATTTTTATGGGCGTTGGGCACTGGAAGCGATTGCATATGCTGCTTAAATAAGACAGGATAATTTAAACACTTGCATGTTTTGCAAATGCACTAACCACTTTTCTTTTATATATATATATATATATATATATATATATATATCAAATTCTCTATAAGACCACATAATTATTATTATTACAAAAAAAAAAAAAGTTCGAAGCTCTTAAAGGCAATGTAAGAAATTGTTTATTATTTTAATGGTTATAGAGTTATTTTATCATATTGTGAAAAATAAAATTAAAACAAAAAATTGTAAACCTAATCTAATTTTTTTTAAAGGCAATTATATAATTACACCGTACAAAAAATTAAAAAATACCAAACGGATTCCTATCAATTCTATAATGACCATAAAAGACCCTATTATCCCTAATAGAGAATTTATCTTTTTCAGAATGAAGAAATAGTAAATTCATTTTTCCAATCCATGGTAAATCAAGATATCTTTAAGTTTGTGTTAATACAATTGATATAGTTATCCTCTATCATTCTAAAATAGAATCAGAAAAAAGTATTCTAATAATACTAAAAATGTCTTTGTAGTATTGATATTTTTATAAAGATGCCCTAATAGACTCAATTAAATAATAAAAATTCCTCTGTCCGAATAGACTAATTTTACATTAATTTTATCTTTTTTTGACAAAAAGACACCTTTGAAATTTTAATTCGAAATTAAAAATAAAAAAAATAAAAAAAATTTCTCTTTTATTTATAAATAGTTGGATTTTTTTAATTCATGATGGAAAATATTTTTATTTTATTTTGAAAATCTAAAGAAATATATTCAAAAAAGAACACTAAAGCATTTGCTAATTGATTTGCGAGAAAACAATAATAATAAATTGAAAAATAATTTTTCTTGTGTAAACAAAACATTCAAAAAAGAACTAAAAAAGATTTTCATTGGAAATAAATGAAAAATTAGGAAAAAGTTAGAGAATTGTTTTTTTTATTTGTATTCAATTTTTATTTCTTAAGAACTGTAACAATTGAAATTTTGAAACGTGCTCCTTCTTTATTTTAAAAGTCAAAAGTAAAGAAAAATTGGTTTGATCACAGACAAAGGGGTCGTTAAATAGCTATTTAATGGATCAAAAATATACACTTTAATCAAGAACTAGTTTTGATATTCTTGTTGTATTGTGATTATTTTGATATTTAATCACACGTTGTAATTGAAAAATATATATATATATATATAAAAGAAGAAACTTCGGTCATCATTGAAACACTGCAAGGTGGATTTGAGAAGAAGAATATGTAAATAGATGATTTACCTATTCCGTAAGTCCCAACCAGATAGACTGGCCACCGTAAAGAGACAATCTTTCCAATTCCGGACCTTCGCCAAGTTTTCCTTGAAATTTTGTTCATGGTCAACGAAGGCTTTCTCATATGTCTCTGAGGGATCCACATCATAAAAAACGGGCAGAACGGTGTGCCCCATCTCTTTCATGCACTGAACAATCTTGACAAGTTCATCCAAACACCATGGTGAAGAAGCGTAATGTCTTGAAAATATAATGACAGAAAACGTTGATTCTTCGATGGCCTTCCAGAGAGCAGGTTCGATGGTCTTTCCTCTCTCGAGCTCCCTATCATCCATGTACACATCGATGCCTCTCTGTGCCAGATTAGAATATAGATGACTAGTAAAGTTGTTCCGGGTGTCTTTGCCTCTAAAACTAAGGAACACATCATACATGTATTGTGGAGGAGAAGAAGCCATGAAAATCCCGAAAGCGATAAACTAGTACCGATCCCTTCTGGCCTCAATTAGCTCGCTTGGTTCAGCAATTGCTTTCCACGCGTACAAGGCCTGCTCCTGTGGTCAAACATGAAACAGAAGGTAAGATCAAGAAATTTGGCAATTAAATCTACCAATTAGCAATTTCAAGCTGGAACATGTACAGTTCTACTTAGAAATCAGAAAACACCAAATTTCCACGAGTATTTCACGAATCTAGACGAAACAAACCGTGTGGTAAGCGTTGGCTAAAGAGGCACAAGATCCAGCCAAGCCCAATAATTTTTCTTCTTCTGGTATCTTAGTAACCAACTTCCAAAGCCCTTTTCTTTCTTTTTATTCCAATTACTTCGAATTTTTTCCGGTTTCTTGAGGTCAAGAACTCGTACTGGTAAGTTTCCAATGATTTTCTTACGGATCTTCCTGTCAAGAGCAGGGCCACACAATTGAGTGATTCATATTTTTAATGAATTATCAAGTCCACATTATTTAACATAAATATTTTTGCATTCCAAGAACTTTCCAACAAAATTTTAAAACTGACCGTGAAAAAAACACCCTAAACCGTGCAGTAATATGTGCACGCAAAAGTTCTAAGGTGAATCACAACAATCGTCCGAAGTACTGTAAAATTGTAAGAATTATTTAAAAATTTAGCGATTTTACAGGAACATATTTTAATACACATAATGCCCTTAATTATTGTCTTGATAAAATAGTTAAAATGAAAATAATAAGAATTTATAGAAACATTTTTAAGAAAATAAACTAAAAAAAATTAAATTAAATAATCATGTTTATTTCTCTAATCTTTTAAGTTTTTCCTATGACTATCTTTTTCAAAAAGTAAATAAGGACATTTTAGATACAATAAAAAGTTTCTATGATACTTTTTAAAAGGAGAAATTACTTGATCATTGTGTAGTTTAGTTATTTTATCTTTATTTTTTCAGAAATTATAGTTTATGATGACAATTTATGTCCTCCCTAACACACGTAATAATTTATAAAATTATTAGTATTTTCAAAAATATCAACAAAAAACATCTAATAATTTACAAAATTATTATTATTTTCAAACTAATAATTATAAAGCCCTTATATTAAATATTATAAATTTTACATTGATTGAAAAAAAAAACTGAGCTCCCACCCTCTTAACCGAGTCTAATTATCTAAAACTAAAAGGTCATGTTTTCAAAATAGCTTTAATAATGCTATAAAGAACATTCATCCCTCATCATCGTGAGTCAAACTATAACTCTATTCTTAAATACAATTAATGAAAATTATGGGTATACTTTTTGATATAGTTGAAAGCCCTCTAAGGATAACAATAAGCACATAAAGATAAAGAATTGGCCAAAATAAGATTAAATCATGAAGAACCCTAAGATCTTATTTTTATTTATGAAATAATGAATCGATAACTTTTGTCTCTTTAGATATTTACAAGTCTTTAAGTAGGTGTGAAATTGACTTTAACAAAGCAGGAAAAATTATTATCCTAAAACAAAATGGAAAGATAGCTAAGAATAAAAAAATAACATAAAATCCGAAAAATATAAAGGAAAAATAAAAAAATAAATCAAACAGTATAATTAAGGCATTATTTGAGATCTTCCAAGGCTCGGATCGTTTCTAAAAGCTAAGCAACTTATAAAACTAAGCCTTAGGAAATATCTATAGAATGTTTAGTCCAATTCAATAGTTAAATAAAAAATTATAGTTTTTTGTTGTTATTATGCTGGTTTTGGTGTGATCAAGCGTTCTCTTAAATCTAGTCTTATCCTATTAATTGATAAAAAAATTTGATAAATTATTCATAAATTCTGTGAAAACCCTTAATTTCTATTACCTCTACCACGTCACTTTTTTCTATAATTCACCAGTGTTGCATCAAATGTCAAGTTAGGTGGCATGCATCACCTCTTAATGGAACATAATTCAATTTTTTCTTCAAATAATAAATCTAGGCACGAATTATGTTTTTCCTTCACCTTCAAATAAAATCTTCCTTTGTACACTAATCAAGAACATGGGATTTGGTTTCATTCCTTCATTCAATTAAGCAATTAATACAAAATAATCCCAATATTTAGTTTGGTGTGCTAAAATAATCTATATTAGTTTCTTAGAACCCTTTTTAGATACGCATTCAATCTTGTCAGTGCTCCCGTGCTACATTATGGATATAATTCCAAAAAAAATATTTGAATGATTCTAGGGGCGTTTACAGGGGAAGAGCCAAAAGGAAAAGACAAAAAAAATAGCTTCCATCCTTTATTTTTATAGCTCCAAGAAGAGAGCTGGAAAGCCGAAATAGCATTTTTACGTTAGAGGACTATTCTTATATATCGATCAGAAGAGCCTAAAGATTGTTTAATAAATCTTTATGTAAAAGAGGAGTTTTAATTGGAGTTATATTAGTTAGTTATAATTAAATAATAACTGTTTAAATGGTTTTTTTCCATCGGAGTGCATATATAAAATAAAAAATGTTATATTTATACTATTCAAAAAATAATATTACTAATTTGGCTTTTCTAAATAACTTTTCTCCTTGAAGAGAGATGCTCTTAGATCTAGAGTTTCAAGTTGTAAGCCTCAAGGTTAAGCGAAGACTCTGGATTCTTTACATGTATGAAAATATGAGCTGTGTATGTTACTTAGAAAGGCTGGGCTAGTTTAAACAATGTTTCTAGATCTCCCTGATGGTAAGAGGGGAAAGTTGGCATCTATGAGAAGTAGCCTGAATGGAGAGAATTATGATCCTCTGGAGTCCTTTAGAAATTAAATTAAAAAAAAAAAACTAAAACCGATTGGTTAATCACTATAAATGGTATATAAAATTATTGTGGATTGTACGGTTTATGTTTTAAATTCATTCTCGTTATAAGTTTTGGCCAAGAAAACATTATAGCCACCGAGTGTAACCACTGTGGAGTGAATCACTATAGATTGTATCTAAAATCACTGTGGATTGTTGTTGCAGTGGATTGTTGTTGCAATGTCATGGTTGCATAAATTAATTACTCTATTTTAAAACACACAAGATAGTATATAGTATATAAGGGGTTAATCTCACAAAAAAGATTTAATTCAAATTTCTATTTGATTTGTAATGATTTAAATTATGACAGTTTTCTATTGGTGTCCCATGGTCTCTTTGGGGTCGATTCTTGAACTGGTTCGAGTGCTCAGGTTGTATGCACATAGACCTAAATCAAAATCTTCTGGAATGGCCAGGCTTGATCAACAAAACTTTTCAGTGTCGTGCTATTACCCTCCTTTATAAAGGTCTATACTAGTCAATCTGGACAGCACACAACCACTTTATTTTCGAGTTCAAGGCTCCGAATTGGGATGTGATTTTTTACCCCCCCCCCCTCACCATTTGACCTTTTGTTTGTAGTTTTCAATTAGAAATCTCAGCTACAAAGGCTCAGATCTTTTTAAAAATAATGAATGTATCATGAATTAGACCAACTAATCAAGTCCCTTGCCACTTTGGTCATTTTCTTTTCTATGCCCTTTGTATTTTCTCTTTCTTTGAGCTCCACCTACTTGATAGGGCTTCTTAAAAGATAATTCTCTCATTTACTGTATATACAAAAAGAACTCCTCTCCTTCACACCAATCCAAATAGTCATTCATAACAAACCACCATAACAAACACCACCCATACCAGCAGCCCTAACAACCACTCTACTATCACATCTTCTCCTCTCGTCAACAACTCAATAATTATAAGTTTGTCATTAAGGGGATAGCTGACTCAATAATTATAAGTTTGTCATTAAAGGGATAATTATAAGTTTGTCGTTAAGCGGTTTTTTTTTCCTTTTCTTTTCTCTATGCTCCCTAAAAAATTACATATTGGTTTTTTTCTCTATTTTTTGTATTTGTGTTTTGATCATTTTTCTTTTGATTTCTTATTGTTGTTGTCATAACCCAATTTTGGATTATTCTCTAAAAATTATTTTTTCTTAAAATAAAAATTAAAAAATAAAATAAAGGCTGATAATGTGAAAAAAATAATCAATGAGGGCTACAAAAATAGAAAAACATCAAGCAACAATTTTTTTGAAGACTTTCAAGGCCTAATTCTACCCCATTATGCTCAAAAATAGAGAAAAATATAAATTCAAGGTTAAATTAAATGATTATTAATGAATTTTCATAAAAATTGAGTCCAATAACATAATTAAATTTTTAGTAAGCTAATGTGATTTAATTATGGGCCAAATTAAATTTTAATTATGTTTAAGAATTAATTTGGGTTTAATTGAAGGATTTAATTAAGTGCAAGGACTTAATTATACTTTAAATAGGTCAAATTAATTTTATTTTTGGCTTAATTGGTGAAAAATTAAGTTTGGGAGCCTAATTTTGGCTTAATTGAGAAGATTGGAATTTTAAGAGATCAAATTTAATTTTTACTAAGTTAATTGATTGAAATTAGGGGTTAAATTGCATTAAATAAAGATGTTTTATGGTCAATTAGGTTTCAATTGAAATAGGAAGGACTGAAATGAATTTTGACAAAAATAGGAATTGGCATTGTTCATTATCTTCTTATTTTTTTCTGAAAAAGCTGATTAGGTTACCTATTTTGCAGCTACATTTAATATATCTAATGTCCATCAAATTTGATAAATCTTATATGAAAATGATCATTTGCACTTTTTCTACAATATAATATGATCAGTTTAGGCTAAATGACAATAAATCACCTCTAATGATAGCCTAAAGAAGCCAGCTTAGTTAGCTTTTGTCTGTAAATTTGCAACTCATGATACCTCCTTTGAGCCAATGGTTGGGATCCTTCCCAACTGAATCAAGAACTAAAATTTTTCCCCAGCATAAACAAGATTGCCCTCTTTCACCGCCTATAAATAGAGATGGATTTTATGTCTAAATAGAAATTTTTTTGGTTTATGCACTTTTTTTTCTTTCTTTCTCTCTCAATCGTGGCCTTTAGCCACCACTACCACCATCACCAGCTTTACCACCATAATTTCCATCAACCCAGCTCCTTGCCAGTGGTAGAGTAGCCATCATGACTTTCTCTCTC